CAAAAAGTCAATGAGAAGCTCGAGCTTTTCGAACTTAAATCTTCTGATTAAAAATCACTACCTCGTAGAAGGAATTGAAATTTAGACGTAAAAGAAAACGTCTCAAGAACGGGGCTCTTTGGCTCCCAGCGAGCTTGCTGCTTCTCAGTATTGTGTACAAGGAATTCGACTTCTTGTTGAATTCCTTAGAAACCAAAAAACCAAATTTAAAATGAACTTAGGAGAAAGAGCATTGAATGTTATAGTTTATATGATTGCGAAAAGGTTATTCACCTCGGCGATGTTTTCAAGTTCCAAAGTGTTTTGCTTGTTTTCTTGATTCTCAATGTTCCAGCAGAATTGGAGACAGAGTTTCATAATGCTGTCAAGTATCCTCGAGACGGCACCAATGTCGAGGAAAGATTGAGAAATAAGAGCAGAGAGATACCTGCATTTGTAAAAGTACAGTAGGTAAGTGGCATAGTTGGGCATAAATAAAAACTGAAAAGAACCGAGACTCTTCAGAGGCTCTAACAAACAAAAAAACCGAGTCGAGAACCAAACCGAAAAACGATATTGCCCAAGCCAAGTAAGGAGCATAGAGACGTTTACAATCAAATAACGAGCATCGGATACTTACTCTTGATGGAAGCCAACGAGTTCAGTGAAGTCTTGAGAATCATGGATGTGAGCTTGCAACACCTTCCATTGAGATTCTATCACATCAACCTTAAGGCAAAGAGAGAATGAAACCTTATGACGTTTTTTCTTTCAAACTGGCTGAGACCCTTATGAGGAATCATAGTTTCTTTACCTGAATGTAAAACTGAAGATTCCTAATCAGAAACGCCATGTGCTCTCTAACTCGCCACAAGGGTTGTATTCCTTGTCGTCTTTGTTGAGATATTGATCCGTTTGTACCACCTTTTCGATGTTGAGCAAAATCCAAGTGATCTTGATGCATTACAGAAGCCCATGATTTCTCCAGTTCCATCTGAGTTCTCTTTAGCCGTATCAAATATTGGAATACCTTGAGATATCTACAAAACAAGTCTATAGCTCTCAGACACACGTATTTCAAGTTCCAGTCATGTTTAGATGGAACAAACAGGCGATTAGTTCATAGGATAACCAATGCAAGAACTTTGAAGTCAGGACAATGAAAAGAAAAAAGATAATAAAAGAAATGGCCAAGGATTCTTACTTAGAAAGCACTTCTTGAGTGAAAAACAATTGCATGGGCCAATCAACAGAATACTCGAGAGCAATCGCATCCCAGCCATCCACAGAGGTGTCTGATGTAAGATTTGCCTTCGCGGTGAGAGATGCTTTAGATCTCGCCTGGTCAGCTTGAGAAGATCTGACCGTGACTCCAAATGAAGGCATCCTAGTGAGAGTTAAAACAGCCAGATTATGTGTGCTTCCTACTTGGCTCAAAGGATGGAAACAAAATTCATCTAATATAAGATCGTTAGATGAGAATTAGATGTGCAACTGACCGTAGGGCTACCCTAGAGAAATACTTATCTTCTTCACCAATAGTTTTTGTTGCAGCCTGTGTGTTCCCCAAAGAGAGAGCGTTATAAAAACAATTTGACCTTACCAGAACTTTTTATCATGAAAATTGTTGTTTTTTTGTAACCACATACCAGCTGAAATGGTACCATTAGATCAGATTCTCCAGTTGACTGGCGAGGCGGCAAACGCATCAACGGGCGGCTCTCCTCCAGAAAGCACTGAAATCAGAAAGTCTATGAGAGGCTTATGCAAGAAAAAAGGGCATGAAAAAATGGGAGGGACATAAATCACCCTTAATCCATTTAAGAGAGCCAAAAGATAGTTTAAGCGGTTACCTGAAAGAAATCTCCTTTTTCTAAGAGAAAATAATCTTTTAGAGCTTTCAGATGACCATTGAGATCAGCACGCACAACAACAAGCTGTAAAAAGGAAGGTAATGTCACACAAAAAAAAGTATCCAAAAGATTAAACAATCAAAAGTTGTCAAGTGCGAACCTGCCATAGATGACTGGCTGCTATTGCTCGAACAGAATCAACAGTGCACTCAAATGATCTCTTGTGAAACTCAGATGATTCCTGCATGTAGAGGAATATATATGAGCATGAAATCTGAGCTCTAACGTGATCCTAGGAGAAAGGCAAATACTATTTCCATGCGCAAACAGAAAGATCACGTGTTACATGACTGAAACCGAAATCAACACTGTTATTAACATGATTGATACACTTTATACCAAAAATTTTACGTGCCATGAGAGTCTCACAACCAGTACCTTTAAATCTTTGAGCATAGCTTCGATCTTGTCTGCCTCAGATTGCGGAAGCAACTCTCCTTCTGTAAGATCTGCATCTAACTCAGTTTCCCTCTCAGGGAAATCACTATGCATAAATCCTCGAATTCTCTGGGAGCCACGCATTGTTTGCTGAAAACTCTTGTCCTTCTGGAACTGGAAAGCAGGACTAGGATTTCGCAAAACCCTTATGGCTTTCCCCGCAAAAAGAATTGATTCACCAAGACGCATAGGAATGTAATCAGGTAACATATCCTGCAATATAAGCACAGAAATATTAATAACATAGTACTGGCACCTAAATCAAAAATAGAAAGTGGCATGGAGAATACCAAAGAAATGTGAAATCCAGAGTGCCAATCAGTTAAAGATGTCTCATGAACTGAGGTACGAGCTAACTTTTCAGATATTTCTTCCTGAGATGAGCGATGATCTAAAGCCCCATCTTCCTGCCTGCAAGAAAATCAAAAATGAGTTGTACTTTCTTTGGAGAAGAACGAAAAGAAACCAAAGTGTGCAGCTACAGACAATGGCAAGCCATAATGTATCAGCTCAAAGTATACAGCAGCTACCTAACACGTATAACAGGAGACTTCGTGAGGACCACTAATGGTGACATTAAGCAAAACGAGGTTGCAGTTACAAAATCTCAAAATCAAAATGACAAAACGACGTGAATATACAGTTTACCTCTTAATGAAAAACTCCTCATGAGGATCCTGGAGAATCCCATAGACCATCCAAGCAGCAAGTTGATTATACATGACCTGATGTCCATGCCAAAGAAGCCTACACATGGATATGTGAATAAGCATGATATAAAAACTTTGACAAGTTGTGACGCTGAACTAAAGATAACTTCAGTTTACAAAGAGCCATTGAAGAACAAAGCCAATGAATACCTTTGGAGACAAGTCCTCAGTTCAGGCACACCACAATGACACCTTTTATTCAATACATTCAGAAGCTGCCCTCCACGAATATCATCACGCTCAATCTCGAGAATAACCTCGTATAAAGGCGGG